CACAGTTTTCCATATACTATGGGGTGACATCACCACGGATGACAGAACACACAGATCGAGGTTACATAGGCCAAACTACACCTATGAATAATAAAATCCTGATCCTATGTTATTCCTCTTAGCAGGCTAGATGCTTCGGGGAAGCAGACCTTTACAGAAAATGCAGACAAGTGAGTAAAGAAAAGTCTGCTACTGGGAATCCTAGTCCTAGGGATTTTTCTTAAGGAAATAGAATTTAATGAAGGTTGCTCATACCACTGATCCTTGAGGAATGGATGGCAGACAGAGGAAAGCTATGCCATAACAGAGCAGCAGCAGCCATATTATAATTTTATATATATTGCAGAGTGGTAGGTCAAAGTTTCCCTCAAAAATCTTGAGATAGGCTAGTAAGTTCAGCTATAAAAAGAAGAATTATGTTCCTCCTGAGCAGGCCAGAAAATTAATATCAAAGCAAGGTTTAAAGTACTGCCATTTTACTCCTTGTTTACTCAATTTGAAATTAATGCATTGAATGCCCAAAACAAAAAAATTATTAATTAGGAAGAGTTCAGTTACAGAAAAGACTATCACATTTCCTTAATGCTTTCTTGTCCAAAGGCAATTTAGGTTTGCTACTTTTAAGACCATTATACTCAAGGTCACACCAGGTGAGAAAATTTTGTGCTAAGATTCTCAAGCTATCTTCTGAGTTTTGGGGGTTTCTCCCCTTACCAAATATTACTCAAGTATACATTTGCTGATTTAATAGAATGTATTTTCAAAACAGAATTTCCAGAGCATCTTTATAACGAATGAGGAAACAGCATATCAGATATACATATAGACTGTTACAAGAATACACAACACATAATCCTAACCCATCTTCACCAGTTATTAAAACTTGCAAGTTTCAAACATCTGGTGATATGCTGAATGTCACAGCTGTTGAAAACTCTAGTACTTTAAAGCCTGACTCATGAAAGCTTGATATCTATTCATAAAAAGACATTTTAGTGAATCAGGGACTTCAGAAAGGTGTTACTGGTCTTGCTTTGGATAATCTAAAGCATTTCCAGGATATATACCCAAATACTTGGCCTGAACTATTTTTGATGAAGACAGAGTCAGTAATCTCTCCTCTTATAACATCTAAATTAGGTTACTATAAATCACGGATTTATGACAAATGAGATAAACATTCCCAAAATACCCTTTGGCAAAATGCTTTTGGACTGCAATTTTGCCAGATTTTTATTTGTCTGCAAAATTGTCAGTCTATAATGTACAGAGGCATCATTTAGGTTCTGTCATACTGCACAAAAATACTTTGGTGTGTAGCTCTTCCTATTTGTATAGGTTATGCATGTCAGTGAGCCTTGACTTCTTTTTATTTGGAATTATGAACTGCAATGCAGGCAACTCTTAAAAACCTGTGGGTTTTAGTACAATGTTTCTGGAGCTTTTAATTCTGTCACCTACAAGGTAGGCAACAGCATTCTGTAATCCCCCCTTCAAACTACATCTGCCCAAATTTAAAGACTTCTTTACAGGTTAAGATTACTAGCTTGGATTTATTTCTACACAAAGTATTTATCTGATTCCACAAAACACGATAAAACAAAATTGAAAAGCTGGAAGGACACCACAGCCCCCAGTGGAGCCATGCTACTGGTAAGAACTGTCTAATAATAAGGAGGATACCCAAATTGGCTTGGACTGCAAAACCCAATATTAAAAACTGTTTTCACTTCTATATGCTGAAGCTTGCAAGATTTTTTAAGCTAAATATAAATTATTTCAGACAAACAGAAAGCAAATTATTAACGTTGAACTTCATTTTTATTTTTATAAGGCAGAGCAGAAAAGAGCAAGTGATGTTAACCTGAGGAACAATTTCATAGTGTGTCAGAAGTATGATTTCTGTTAGAAATGCATAAATTATGCCATGCAGTGCTTACAAATTAACAAAAAAAGTATTATAAAAGTGAAGCCCTGCTGTGTCAAATATGCCACACAATTTTTGTTCTAATAACAGCAATTTAGGTTAGGGCGTGACTTTTCTCTGATATAGCTGTGCTAGTACAACCCCTAGTGTGGACACAGTTTACTGCCATGAAGGCATTATAATTCGTATGATTTATAAAGCTTGTTCCTAAGCAGGAAAAGTATTAAGTAGTGCATTGCTATTTCAGCACAGCTACATCCACAATGGGAGGGCTGGCTGAGAGAAGAAGAGAGGGCAGTAGGTGATGCTACTTTACAACACATCGGGCCAGATAAACAGATGTGGGTTTTGTGCAGAGAAAGTGTTTGGTACGTGTCTTTCCCCCCACCTCCCTCCGTAATCCTGATGTTAATCAGGATCATGATGGATGATATTACAAAACAGTTATTCAATTTAAATGGTAATATTGCTCATTGCTTCTTAATTTTAAAAGAATATTCATGTAAAATGTTAATAACACAGTTATGACAGATATCGACACATGGATATTAGTCCTAACTGAACAATAAGCACAGGGAAAAAGATATTAGGGTAAAAGGGAGTAAGACCAAAGACATATACTCTCTTTAGGTTTCCTAAATGATACAATTTCAATTTTGAATAACATTTATAAATACCAGTATATGATAAATACCGACCTGTATTTACCTGACATACAGATATATGTATCTGGTGATCCTAAATTGTACATGTGAGACTTTCTGCCTATTCTGACACACCTGAATAATTTTAATACTTTTTTAAAAGTCACTCTATGTAAACTAAAAAAAATCTTCAAAACTGAAATTTATCCACAGCACAATTAAAAATACAATTATACCTCAAGAAACAGTAAACTCGCTCTCAATATATTAAAAGGCAATTCAAAACATGATTCTTTGCTTTTAAAAGAGAAAAAAAGCATCATTTAATACAGAATAGCCTGAAAATACTCATACATTATTGTCTCTCTACTTTAAAAAAATAAATATGTATTTATTATGAACAGATGGTGGCCAAGGAAGGTATCAGCTTTGTCTCTTAGCCAGAAGGTCAGGTCATGGCTGAGAGACCAAAGAACAATTATTATTTGCTATTCAGTGCCACATAAGATAAAACATTTCGGGTTTTTTTAAAATACAAAGATAGAAGTGATTGCACTGTTTTCAATTTTATAAAACAAAATAATTTGCAATAACTTATTCATATTTGTTAAAATTTGATTTTAAAATACCCAGCCAACACGCAACAACACAACAATGCATTCTAACACCCTTCTTGGGTTGCCTTTAACGTGTTAAATAATCCTAGGACCTATACAGAACTTTTTGGGTTACTGGAGCCACAGATATAAAACAGCTGCTGAGATACTGAGTCTGAGAATTTCAAAATTGTTTGTTTTCCTTTATTTTGAGGAACCAACAATCATATTTGAATAATAACATACTGACTCAATATCTAATCTTTATCTAATTATCTAATAATTTTTACTGATAGGAACTCTCCCTCACATTATTTCATTTTATATCAAATTATATAAATCATTACATTTCGCTGTATTCAGCATCACACTGATTAAAATACCAGTATGTCATCACATGAGGTTAAAATATTTTGTTAAATTTTGTAATTTGTTCAAAAGGCAATCCTCAAGCAAGTTGAAGAACAGGATTTAAAATCCAAGATACTTCTTCAAGTATCTTATTAAACACATCCTGTTTTATTTGTATGCCAAGATTATGCCAACTCTTTTATCTGTGATATCTGTCAAGACACAGACGACAAGCCTGGTTTTTGTTTTTCAGTGTCCTTAGGCCTAAAGGATGCAGGAGTGAAAAAAAAAAAGCAAACCTTGAAAAAAAGAATGCTTTAAGACCTCTCCTCTTCTGCGCTGTAGCATTTTGTATACATGTTGAAGGGTTATTTCACCTAATAAGCTCCTCCTTTGGATTTTACATTTATTTTCATTATAACTTGAATTAATATCGCTTCCAGACTAAGCTTGTACTATTAAGTTAATAAACTTACTGTCCTACATGCAGCTTTTGAGGAACTGGTAATTAAAAATTTAATTTTTGAAATACTTAATTTTCCCCCTACATATATTCTTATACAGGAAATGATTTGTTCAGTTATTTAAAAGAAATAATGGTCCAAAATCTATTGTATAGGCTGCTCAAACAACAAAAAACATATTTAAAAAATCATCCTCATGTGCATCTTATATATCTGTGTATTCAGAAGACTCTCATGTGCAAATTATAACTTAAGAAGGAATACTGAAAGTTTGAAGTCCTAGAGAAAAATGGATAGAACCTCAAGAAAAAGGGCACTTCAAAAGATGCAGATTACACCTGTTCAAGCTGTTTGCCAAGTATGTTGCAGGTTACTCTAATAATCTTTCTTACTGCTTGGGATGTTTTCTCACAGACTACCTGTAAGGCATATACTGGTTTTTGTATTAATATAAAGCCCAGTTTTAGATAAGCAACAGTTAATGCCAAGTGGATTTTATTCCATAGTTATTTTTTTTTCTAGAAGGTTAGTTTTGTTTTTGTTTTGTTTTTTTAAAACTTTTCTATGAATCTCAGCATTCAGTAACATTGAATATTTAGAGAAATTGGAAGATAAATGATTTTCATTCTTGGTATCATTAGGTTATACTTAGAGTATTTAATGTTCTGTTAGGCTGCATGTATAGGTAATTATGTGTGGATTTATTTGTGAGAAAAAGTGTATAAACACATGTATACAGTACATAGAATTTAAGTAGCTGGTATGAATAATATGATAGAGTAATTCTATATGAAAGCATGGAATGAGTGATGCGCAAAACTGAACATACTAGGGCTGAAAACAATATTAAGATAATCAAGAGTATTTATTTAGCAGTAAAAGCTGGCTTTTTGCCATTAATTTAAACCATTTAACAGTAATAAATGACCACTATCAGAAAAATGAATCATTCCAGCTTCTGAAAAAACCCTACTTAGGCTACTAATAACTGCAAAGTTATAGCAGTATTATCTCTTACCTGGTCCTTAATTTCAAGCTCCCTTATAGTTTTTGTTCTGTACTCTCTGAGCTCCTTTTCTGCCTCATCCTTCTTCATTTTGGTTTGATTCAACTGATAGCGCATTTCTCCACACACCTGTTAGATTACACAGACAACATGATCTGTTAGCTTCAAGAATCCATAGACCAGGGTTTGCAATTAGATCTTTTGGTGCCCTCTACAGGTCATTGAAATGCAACTTGTTTTTAAATCACAGATATTTTAGGTCTACAAATGGTAAATGTTTTTGCATAGAAAGGTGGATCTGGATTCTATATACAGTCATTAACTTTGACATATGCAGTACCTTCTAGATTCAAATATATTTGGATCAAGATTTTGCTAAGTATAAATACTTATGTTGTAAATATATATCACTACAGTTAAATGACAGTTGCTGGTTTTATACTCTTCTCTCATTCTCTGTAAAATCCCAAGAAAGTCTATGTCAACACTTTCAAAACCTAGAAGTGAAGCATCTATCACACTCCTAATTAAAGGTGTATTTTAACTTGCCAATTTTACACTGTTGGGAAAGAAATTGTTTAAATGTTAACACAATAATTTTCAAAGTTTGATCAGAGCACTACAAACTTATTGCAAACTGAAGATAAATTCTTTTCTAAAAAAGTATTTTTTAAAATAGATACATGGTCCAGAAGAAATTGATCAAAGCAACATTTCAGGAAATCACTTCTACAGAGGACAGTTATTCTCTGCTGTTGAAGTGTTTGTTATATTACCCCCTCAATCCTTTCCATCTGGCAGCTCAACTTCAGAGAATATGTGAAAGGGTTAGGAGAAAGTGAAAGAAATGAAAAAAAAAAACAAAACAAAACTAGAAGATCACTAATCTCTTCCACATAACTTTACTGCTGTGCAGGGTTGTTCCAATTTTCAATCTAAGCTGTCCCCTTTTTGTCCTTACCCTGTGCCATCACCTCCAATTTGTGCCTGTTCATGTCACCTCAATTAACCAACCAAATACATGCACATTCCTTAGTGAGAATGCAAATGTGTTTACTCATAGCTCCTCTTAGTCAACTTTCTTTCCAACTCACTCGACTTTCCTGCCTTCCTTATATTCTTTCAGCACTTGCTCCTTCAATCTACACCCTTTCAATTTGCTGCTACAATCCTCTGTGCTTCTCAAAAACATTCTCACATATTCTGCAACCCAAACTAATTTCTGTTTTTCAGTCTTATACCTCTTCTCATTTTCACTTTTTTTTTCTCCCTAAAAAAAAAGGTAAGGAAAAAGTAAATATGCATACTGCAATGAAATCACTCCAGGAAAAAAACTAAACCAACTGTCATAACTTTTAAGAAGTAGCATCACTTACAAATTGAAAGGACAGCTTGTGAATTTAGCCATTGCAAATAATGCAATGCAGCAAATGCTCTGAAGAATGGCAAAGCTCTGAAGCATTTTTTTAAACACTGAAATATTATATGCAACTAAAAAAGTCTTGAGATGCAACTGCATAGCTTGCAAAACCTGGATTTCTACCTCCTCCTTCCTATATCTGAAGGATGTAACAAAATGCAATATGTCACTTCCTCCAAGTGAAATTAAAAAAATTCAGCAATCCCCGCTTTCAGCTCCTCCACACACTATACAAAGGGAATAACACAGAAGAATCAGTAGATGGTGCTGTCCTAATAATGGATTTTTCAGTCTCCTCAAGAACGAAGGAAATAGATCCTCACTCCATATTTTCTTTCCCTGACTTCTGGTGCATGAAGAAAAACAATATATTGGATAAAACTTGAAAGTGTGGCTATTTGCTGTTTTTCATAATGGCAAACTGAATCTGGAAACGAGTCAGATTCACAAGCAAAGATGTCACATAGCCAATGAAATTGTCAGGGTGATGCACACAGTCCTGTCAGCTCAGTGGCTGGGAGGTTCCTCTGGGATTTTTAAGACTTCTCACTTTAGTACAGGGACACAAATGAATTTTCCAATCTCTCAGGACAGTGCAATGAATAGACTATTGCAAGGTGACCACCTATTCAACTTTGTATTAACATGAACTGAAGCAGGGACTGGAATCACAGTATCATCTCCAGAGAGGTAACTTCTAATTGGTAGGGTACAAAATTGTTCTTTTCAGACCAATGAATATGTGTACTCACTGCCTCTTTTATAACCTCCACACCCCTGTAAGTGGTGCTAGTCATTTGTGAACTCAGCCTGAAAGATCAAAAGTGTGTTTCAGAATTGGTAAATTAAACCATTCTGACATTTTTAAAACACTCATTTCTCTTTCAGTTAAAATTGAAACAAAGTTTCTAGTAAGTTGGGATGACTTTTTGCTGTGAATTTTCTGCAATACTTTTGCCTCTTTCTATCAGCCAGGGCAGCAGGGGAAGACAGGAACTGTTGAAAACCTCTCCTGAAATCTCTAGAGGCCCAAAGAATAAATTGCTCCTCAAATCCCTGCAGTTAACAACTGGAAAGGTAGGATGGACCTTGGGATTACTGGTAAGGAATATAGACATTTCAAGTGACTGTTACTTTTTTTTGTCCTTTTTCATGTTATGACCCCCATTAAGGCTCTTACTGGCTGAGAAACGTGCAAAAGAAAGCACCCAAGAGTGATACACCTACAGAAGATGTATGTTAAACTGTTTTTCTTAACTGGAAGATGTTTTTGTGAGAGCCATACTAACAACAGTACTGAATTAAGCAAGTATACTACATAAAAAGTCTAAAGGAAAGAACTTGAAAAACAGTTATTTGATATAGTTCCCTTTATTTTAGCACTGCAAGTCCCACAGGTAGCAATTAAGCACACTGTTGAATTCTATGTTGTCTCACTCAGACCAAACTCAATTCTTTACTGAAATACTGGGATAGTGTTTTAAACAGTGACCCTCATAGGCTGCAAAGTAGAAAAGTTAGCTTCTGCATGACAAGGTGACTTGGAAAAGTGAAAAAGTTATTTTTTTATTCCTGCAGCTGGGATAGCTGTAGTGCCTCTGGGGTATTGAGATGAAATCTACAGTTACCACACATTCCTTACCAAAACAGGAAAATGGACAAGGTAAAAATTCTATTCTTTCAAGTCACAATGATAAGGAAAACCAAGCTCAATACTTATTTATAACCTTATTACCTTATTCATCTCCATTTCATGAGATGCAAGCTGGCCCTGTGATTCTTCTAACTGGTTAACTAGAGAATTCTTTTCCCTTGTAAGTCTCTCAACTTGAGCCTCCAAAACAGCCACATCCTTAGACAAAGCTGTCACCTGAAAAAGTCCAAGAGCATTATAATGATTCCATTTAACCAACCACAAATCAAACTCTTATGGAACTTTCTCCTCAAAAGCAACTATGTGCAGACAAAATACATAACATTAAAAAGTAATAAAAAGATCAAGCATGTAAAATAAAAATATATTATTAATAATATAACATAATGTGGCTACACCATTTTATTAATGGGTTCACTATTTTTGATTTACTTATCATACAGTAGTTTATTTGAAACATTTCATTGACTACACTAGTCTCCAGGTGTCACAAGCAGCTGGCTACATTACTTCTTATCCATCCTTATGTAGATCGATTCAAACCAAATCTTGTTCCTCCAGCTAAAGAAAACAGTTGTTGCAACCACAAATCTTAATTTTCAAGTTCAGGAAACATTTCAACAGTATAGATCAAAGCATACTGTTGTGCAAAACTCATATAGAAATAGTATATTAAAAGTTCTAATGTAATTCAGATGAAATTTTGCTGAATGATTAAAAAATGTAACAATAAAACAGAGACAGTGAATCTTCAGCTCTTTAGCCCTGAAGCTTACTAATATAAGTAGAAATAATGGTGTCTGACAGTTCTAGGTTAACTTTCAGAAATTCAAAGCCAAACCTAGAGGATTATGTATTCATAACTATTTTTCACTCCTTATACATCCACCTGATTTATGTATCATGCCAATTCTCCTCTTCAAACAAACCATTTCTTAAAGTAAGCAATAAAATATTCAGATGAACGTTGACTTGATCCACAGTATACTATTTCTACCACCTCATAATCCTAATGCATAAAAGTAGTTAATCATATGTATGTGTAAATCATTAACATAGATCATAATTTTACACAAAGTCATCTCATATGTTTAATTACCAGGCATGACATCATCATAGTGCCACTATATGTTGTTTAATGTACATGCAGAACTTAAAAAAAACCCCAAAAACCTACAACTACTTAAAGTGAGAACTGGTTCCAGTGAAACACATCTCAGTGAGTGATGAAATCCAAACTAATGTGATGACATGGAGTGAAATAGTCTACCAAACAAAAGTATGAAATGCTTGTCTAATAGGCTGCATTTCGGAGTGAATACACTGTTTTAAAGCACTCTGTAACAAAACAACTAACTTCATAAAAGGGACAACTTCTAATGGATAGCAAGGAGTCAAACAAGGAATTGCTTAATGATGTCTGCAGTGAGCAATTATTTTTTTTAAATTTCAGTTTCCCTGGCAACAGATCACTGATGATCAGTTCATGTACTTAACTATCACTTAGTCCCTATCCCTGTGCTTAATACCTGTTTTTGTATCTGGAATTGCAGTCAAAGAGGTTATTTTATTCACACTTAAATGGTTTATTTTGCTCAGCCTGTGCTCTCCAGATTTTTAGAAATCAGCCATACAACTTATAAAAGAGTCCCAAAAAATAAGAAAATTACAATCCTACAATCAGGAGAGAAATTACTCTAATGTTTCCAAACCTTCACCAGAAATGGTTGAAGATGCTACAGATCAAAAAAAACATGAAAAGCACTAATTTATGAAGTATCTACCTCTAAACATTTCTCCCCATTTCAATCACCTTAGAAATGCCTCCTCTATCACAGGCTTCTTGCTGTTAGTTTGAGCTTTCCTGTGTAGATTCCATTGGGCAGAAAACCCACATGTTTTATACTCAAATTACAGCAGCATCTACAAGTCTAAAACAAGGTTAACAAGACTATCACAATGGTCGTGGCATAAATGATGAGACAGATTCTGTCTCAGAGAGTTTATAAACATTAGTAAAAGTGAGAAAAGAGATTCCAACACATTTCTGCAGGTGGGAAAACTAAACATATGATAAGATCACTTTGAATTTATGATATTGTAACATTAATGTATATATAAGATCCAAGTAGTGGAGAATCCTAAATTTGACATGTGCCAACTTCTGAATGCTTGCCATGGCAAACGAAACAATAATTTTTATAAAAGAGCTAGGTACAAACCTTGCATCACATATTACTTAACCCTTCCTTACTCTGACACAGTGCATTAAAAATATTATGCAAACTAAAATAAAGTGCATGACATCAACAACCTAGTATGTATCTAGTGACATGGCACAAAACCCAGTTATTCAAATTCAAAGGATCACTTATCCACCACTGCTTTAAAGCAATGGTAGAAGTGACTGAGCTCTCATACCCAAAACTGAAAAAAAAAGACAAGCAAATGAAGTTTAAAGAGGACGATATACTCATAGTAATACACAAATAGAAAAAGAACCAACTCATACCATTGCTGCCAAGTCCTCCCTTTCCTTCTTCATTTCTCGCCGCAGTGCTTCTTTGTCATCAGCCCTCTTACTCAGCTGGGCAGCCAACTCCTTCTCAAGATAATTCTTCTGTCGTTCCATCTCACTTCTCAGTTGCTCACAGTGGACTAGAGCCTAAAAAACTCCGATTTGTTTAAGAAAATTAAATATTTAAGCAAACATGGTATTTTTCTTCTTCTTACCTTCATAGAAACCAGTTTGCTATATGAAATGTCTTTTTTTTTAACACAGTTATTATGATATTTATACATATCCTACTGTGTTAACATCTAGAATAGGTCTAAGGGGATGAAATCAGATGTTCATGTTTGTAGGTATATACATGCCCCGCTGTAACTGAGAAATTTAAATGCTTTTAGGAATCATGGCAAATATGAAAGCATTTTTCCGTGCGAATTTTCCAAATAAGTAGCTGCTCTTCTAAAACCATGATTATTTGCCTTACATTTCAAATTTGAAATTTCTGAATGCACATCACTAGAATCAGCCTCCAGTATTTGACTCCTTGCAAATACAGTGGTTACTGTCTAACTAAAGAACTGAAGGAAAAATTAATAAAATGTATGCACTTCCACTTAGTCTCCTCCTGAAGTGAACTACTGAGTGCAGAATGCTAAGAAACCTGAAAGCAGTCAGTAAAGATACAAAAAAATGTTTGACAAATAAGTTTCAGGTTTGTCAAAAATTTTTTAATTCTACTAAATAACTCATAAAGTACTGTTTAATTTCAGGTGCCAAAACACAGGGTTATAGATGGGTTTTCTATTAAAAAAAAAAGAAACAAAAGTTGAAGAACACTCTCAAAACACTGTCTTCACTATCTTCTAAAAATGCTAGGGGAATAAAGAAGATATTTATCCATTTATGCTGCTGTATCTCTGCCAAAGTGCAGAATTTGAGTGTTAAGTCAGTTTAAATCAGAAATACACTACTCCATTACAAGTAAACTCAAGTATTTCAAGCACCCTGAAGGGAACTTTGCTAGCCTATAAGTAGACTAGGTTTAATTTCAACATTCCCCTGATATCCAACACATTCTGTTTCAAAGAAGCTAGAGTAACCTCCCTTTAGGAATTATAACTTATTATCCTTTATTTTCAAATTTATTTATTTTAACTGCTTATTTTTCTGCTACTCAAAGCCAATCCCTTGAGTTCAATTTTTTTGGCTTTGGACTATTCATGAGGGGAGCAAGTTAAACTATTCTTTTTTAGAGAATGCTCTAACAGTCTCCATTAGTTTTGTGTCACAAGTCTACCGTGGTGAGAGAATCCCTCTGTTATGGCACTGAATCCTTTTCTGTAGGAAAGGATCATCGACTTCAGCAAACAATTGCATAAAACTGCTCTAGCTTGGCAGACATCTAAACCAATGCCACTCTGGAAGGAAGTAGTTGCACTAGTTGCATTTCAAGAAGAAATGTGTATTTTGTTAGCTCCATTGTTCTGACTACACAAAGAGCAGTTCAAACCATTACTTTTTTATGACATTTACTTTGAAAACATATTCCTGATTTTGCTTCAACTATGTAAACTTAAACATAACAGAACTCCTTTCTGCTTTATGTAATAACAAGAGTCCACAAACTACAGAAACAACCAAGAGACAACAAGAAATGGTGGTTTTAAATGATAAGCACCTGAAGTTAGATTGTGGGTTAACAGGCTGATGAAATTGCAATAATACTACTTGAAAGCTTAATGTGTTAGCTTCTCCCTTTTGTTACATGGACTGTTCTATGGGGTTCCATGCTAGTTATCAAGAAAAACAGCACTTAAAGAGTAGAATAGGACTGGGGGAAAAAGAGGATGGTTTGGACTTACCAAGAGGTATAACAGTACTTGTCAAAAGGCAAAATTAATGCAGTGTAAGTAATTTTTTTCCCTCTTTCTTCATATTAAAACAGTTTTGGAGCATCAAAAAACCCAGACTACTATTCAGCCTCGTAGACAAACCAGTAGCACTTCACACAACACTACAAGCACACAGTCTTCTCTTACAGCACTGGATAAATAACACCAATTTTCTCCACAGAACAATTATATCAATCTTGTTTGCATTCAATTACAAAAACCAAAGCAACCCTCTCTCAATTCCATAGTAATTCACTAATAGTACAGTAGATGTCACTAACTATCAAGGAAATAATTTAGGTCAATATAGGCTGATTGCACACAGAACTAGGGCTAACACAAGCATTAAATCAAAATTGGTTCTACCATTATTATTTACATTAGAAGCTTCATGCAGATGGCATTAGACAAGACTTCTCATCTTCAAAGAGCTCTGATAGTCAATCAGTTCTTGCACTGGTCTCAGGCAAAATATTTGTTTGCAAGCATTTTAGTTAAGCTTTCCAGAGTAGGTCAGAAATGTGATATCAAAATTATCCTCTTACATATCATGAATATCTTTGAAAATTCTACAACTCAATTTATATCACCTAGCTGTGAAAGTGTATCAATTTAAAAATGCAGCACTCCTCATAGTATTGATGAGAATTTGAGTACAGAATTCATATTATTGTTCAGAAACAGTCACATGGTGCAGTTGTTTTAAATGTACATCATATCAACATATTACAAAAGTCTTATGCATGTATTCTCTAACTAGCATGAAAACTAATTAACATTTGCATTAGATCTGAACACCTAAAAAGCTCTGATTTCATGATGGGTTTACCTTTGTTTTTTCAAAATTGGCCTCTTCTGCCATTTGCACAGCATGTTCAACTTGCTTACAAGCATTAGATTCTCTTTGCTGCATCTCTTTCACACTTTGTCTCAGTGAAACAAGTGCATCCATCAAGTCATCTCTTTCTCTGCATATTAAAAAAAAACAAGTCAGATACTTCTTCTATATTTTTTGTAAGAGAAAAAACCCTAAACAACAGGTATACCAGATATAAAATATAAACAGACTTAAGGGTGGTAAGCAAAGCAATACTGAAACTCGTGAGTGAAAGCATACTGCAAGCTTGGCAAATACTGAAAATATCATTTGCTTGACAACCAGTCCTTAATTTCAGAAGGATGGGCCATTTGAGAAACTGCCAGTGAAGAGAGCAGATCTCAAGTCATTCATGTACAGAAGCTGAGCACATTCTGTTGACATGACAAAACGGGGATCCATGCAAATTTAGAAAAAAAAAAAAGCAATATGGAATTACACTGTCATTATACGTAAAAGAGGGAAAAAATAATAAAAAGGAAGGGTTAGGTTCAACAAGTAATTGCTAAGTGTATCAAATGACAATCTAAATCCATTTGCTGCAAACTGGAACTAAGCCAAACAATAGGACACCTGGATTTTACAACTCTTCTGAACTTTTGTTAACTAAGACACTTAAATCTGTACTAAATGGTAAAGCAGAGTTAGTAAAACCATAATACTTAACTTCACCTTTTCATTATTTTGATATGTTAAAAGCTTTTAAATTAAGTTTAATTGTCTGTGATTTAGGTGCAGCTCAAAATTCTGGCTGAAAACTGTTGTATTCTTAATGTTGTGTGAAATGGTAACACATTTTTTTGTATTTGCCAGAGACCTAGCAGTCATACTTTGAAATTTCATTTCATTTTTGAATTGCATAAAGTTCCTTTGAAAACTTATACTGAAATACCCTTGTTTTTAATAAACTGTACCACAAGTAGAGGTAGTTTTCAGACTTTTTTGAACCCCCAGATAAAATAGCAGTTTGAGATACATAAAGAGGTCAGTTCAAATCTTTTATTTCAAGCTCACTGTAATATAAGAGGACAAGAATGTACGGATTTACAGTTTGTTCATATTTTCCAACATCTGTGACAAATAATTACTTTTGTTACAAAAGTAGATTTTGAAACATGACTTCTCAGCAATAGAGCTTTGACAGAAAATTTTTGGACTTGATAATAGAAAAAATGCATAAATCCTGGGAACAATTATCTAGTGCAGAGGGATAGTGCCCACTTGACTGAGTACATATATGTTCCATGTCCTTTCAGTCTCCCTGCTTCTAATTGATCCACTATTCCATCTCAGGCTCATTCTAATACTTCAGAAATTCTAAGAAGCTTCAGCTATCTGACAATAAATAGATGGCTGTTTAACAAAGTTTGAGAAAGTTGCAGTATCTAATTATTATTGCTAGCAAGTAGAAAGGGAGAGTTTTTTTGAAGATGATTGACTGGCAGAATTCCTTAAGAAAAAGAATTTAATGTTGGGATCCCTGAATTGCATATATTCAGCCTGTGTACCTGTGATTTTAAAAATTATTTAAATAAAAGCTAGAATTTAAAAAAAAAAGGTTGCAACAAAAAAATTCGTTTCTTTTTATCCAATGGAACTTCTTTTCCCTGTCTTATTGTGGTCAGGGAGGAACTACTACAGGTGTTTGGGGTAGGAAATGCATCCTACCTATTGTTGAGGTATCTGAAAAGTTCCCCATATGTAAGGAGAATAAAATGGAGCCAGAAAAATTTCCAACAACAGAATTATAATGAACTTTTGCAAGAAATAATCAATCAAAATGCATGGACTTGCACAACATTTGTGCTGACAGAGTGAATGACTTGTCTGTACAAAAAATGCAGGAAACAGACTGTAAATAGTCTCATTATCTGGTCAGCCCAAGTTATCATAATTACATGATAACAACTGAAATTCTTTCTCAAAGTAACAAAGCCTTAGTGGATTTTGAAGTGGTTGGGACCTACATTCACTGATTTCAGCATCATGACTCCAGCTTGGGAGCGTATTGTTCCATAAATGCACATCTCTCTAGGAATGTAACCCAGGCCATTGAGACTTAAATGGTTTTAATGGAAGCAGCCAAAGATCCAATCCCAAGGTGCACACCCCCACAGCCTACCTGCTCAGCCTCTCGATGGTCTGCACGTGAACATTGCAGTGAGTCTGGGCAAGAACGGCCTCGTGCTGGGCACAGTTCAGGCACAGACCACCCACCTGGCTAGAATTCCTGGCTGAAAACAGTGACTTCTGGTGTTTCAGCCTTCCTTCCAAATCTTTGCATGTCTTCTGAGATTCTGAAAGGTCTTTTCTAGAAAGAATAAATGAAAAATGTTGTTTGTAGAATTATATTTTTCTACAAGTCATATTCATATACAATATATAATTGCAAATGTAACCTAAAAAGAACTGTAAGAATCCCTGTAATTAACATTAGTTTACACATTCCAATAGGCTAAGGAAATAACAGTTGAACTGCCCAATCAAATTATTAATAGACAAAACAAAACTGTGTTAGTTTGTTTCTTCCCCCATAGTATCAGAAAATATTGAAGTTAAACAGAAAGTTATTAGATGAAAAACCTGCAGATTTACATTTTGTCTGAGCAGAGTATAATATTCATTATCCAAAAAAAAAAGATATCAGCTGTATAAACATTTCAATACTCTAACAATTTTCTGTTGCTTTTATTAATAGTATCACTAACTTCATATTTATTCTCTACTCCCTAGGCAAGAATCCAGATGTAATCAGAACATTCACTCAGATCCAGCAATATACACAACCTGAGGTCAAACACATGTGCAGAAAAACAGGCTAAGTTTTTTACTTGTCTCCAAAATTTTTACCAGGTGCTCAGAAGAATTTGCTCCAGAATTTCCAAGCATGTGTCAGGCTGGGGAGCTCGCAAGCAATAGGAATGTTAACATCAGGAAGTTCCAGACAAACGCACACTGTGCACATATAGATCAATTTGACAAATTGTGCAATGAATCCAAAGCTTTGGGTTTGTTATGCAGGCCATCTGGGCAGCACACACATAGGAAGTCTGACACATTCTGGTTGCATTGGATTTACTGTGCACATGATATATACACTGCATGCATTCTTATTTCCATCTGGAAAATCTTCTGTGCACTTTTTCCAATTTTAGTACTTGGTCTATTACATATAACCCACTATAACCTGAACAGAATTTGCTCTGCATATATCCTTAGACAGTCGTGGTGCAACAAACCTATTGTTTGTTGCACAGAATTCCTATTGCACAGAATTCACCAAGTCCTGTGTACATTCATCCTTGAAGTTAAAGGGGAAGACAGTCCCACTCAAAGCACTATAATTTCTCACTTCAATAGAATTTAGTTTTGCAGAACTTCCTGTTTGGAAGATCATGTCTCTTAGGAGAAATCAGAGGCTGAATAATGTATTTGAGGAACTTCTGAGAAAACCTTAGCCTCCAATAATTATTTTTTAATAAATATACCCCTTGAGGCCAAGAGGAAAAAAGAATTTGATTATACAGCTGAAATTAAAGATCTTCCTCTACATTCACTAAGACAACTGGCTTTGCACGTTGCAGGTTTTACCAATGCAGAGAGTATTCTTATAATTGTCTCCTTACCAGAAACTCTTTTTACACACAGATCAGTCTAGCATTTTCAAATATATGAAACCATAATTTATTTAGGGAAAAATATAATTAAAAAGTAGTAGAAAGTAGCTAATTATGGAAGTTGTGACAACTTAAAATTGTAACTTCTCTCTTTTCTTTTGAGTGGTCTATCTTACATGACCTTTCCTAGGGGAAAGAGGGTAAAGAAGCTAAGATGTTTTGCATTGCTACTGTTTCAATAAAGTAGCAGTATATTTAATTTTGTCAAAGCTATATCCGAGAGAACTTAACAGAAAGTCACTTTTCAGGGACACTATCAGAAGACAAAACATTTAGACATTCAGGCATTCTCTTAGTTAAATTCAGATTAAGACTGGTTCATGCTGTTACGCAGTGACAATTTATTAAGGATTATTTTAAGAAAAAGAAATTCACTTTACCTGAGGGACTGTATTTGAGCATCAAGGATATTGACTTTTTCTTGATACAGAAGTTTTAGATTGTCCTTTAGAAAAGATGGGAGAAAAGATATGTCTTGCTTTCTTCATAACAGTCTTCAAAAATAAACCTAGACTTTACCCACATTCTTTTCCCCTGAGGACATAAACCTGTTGAAATACTAGTGGCAGAGAAACCTAAATATTTCACATTTCTGGAAGTCTGAAAAGTGAACAACCCTCCCATTTTTTTGTTTTTAAATAAGGTTTTTTGCCAGATTGTCATATGGTAAATTGTTTCAATTCCAACTGCTGCCCTCAGTTCTCTACAATGATTCACAGAAAATTGATAATCATGTCTCGAGTTTGCTCTTGCTCTCCCACAAGCCAGCAGATATTAAAACATAATTATTAAGAACTTCAAGTACACAGGCTATTTATTTATAATGCAGTGAGTTACTCTGATTACCTGGTGAAGAACAAGGTATATAAATCAACCACACCAATGTTAAACACAGTGGTGATAACAAACCAGATAAAGCACTACAAATTCAGCTCACTATGATGCTTAGAAAGAAGTTACAATCAACATGATTCTCCTGATTTAAATGTGGCAGATGAAGAAAGGAGCAATGACTGTAAAATATAGCTTCCAAACAACTGCAGGCATCAGCGACCAATGAGGTCTTCAGCCCTAAAATAACAGCACAAAAAACCCAAAACTTTATTTTTTTCTATGAAAAAACCCCAAATCCCATATAATAAAACTGCATAAATTTCACAGTACAGAAATGCATATGGATAAAATATATCAAAACTTTTCAATTTTTTTCCAATTTTTTTCCGAAAGATAGGAACATTACCCTACTATTTCAGAGCAAAAGGAAAATTAATATCCTCTGAAACAAAAATGCAGAAAGAGACAACATCATCTCTAAATTACTAGGACTCCTCTGTATCTCTAAAAGCACAAGGTGTGTAATTCAGCTAAGGGAAAGCAGATTGCACAAAGCTACTTTTGTACCTTATTGAGCCTGGGTTGTCTCCAGGAGCAGAACAACTCATTATGAAAAGAGCTTGTGTGGGGGGCTAAATAAATTACACCAGATAGTTCCCACCTGCTTGGGCACTGTGTTTACTCCTAAGAATCTCCAAAGTACAGTGAAGCCATCATCTTTAAACAAGAATTATCTCTGGAACGTCATCATCTGCAGATACAACCTGCCTCCTGTGTCTAACTGCACAATAATATTAATTAGGGTATAATGAGAAGATGAGGTTTAAGAGAATAACACTTGAGCTCAGATTAAAGTTTAGTCAACCAAAACTTCTCCTGTGTCTGTTACAAAGTTGATCATCAGAACTGGAACAACAACACTGAACACTTGTGCAAAGGCAGGGCTCTGTGAATAAAGGTAATACCAACCAGCTCTACAGGCCACTGTGCTTGGTCTCCAGAAGCTGCTGTAACAAAAGCCCGGTCTTTGTGATGTGCTGGTGATGAGGTGACAGGCTGGGGTGTGCTACAGTCTTTAGCACCGACAGGCCGGGAGTTCTGAGTATTTGCCTAAAATAAATGAATGCTTCAGTTATGATTATGTAGGCTGGTTTTTAAAACAAATGTAGTTACTTTAGTATTGAATCTTATAATCTTCAGAAGAACATAAGAGCCAATAAACAAGTTAATTAGGTTAGCAATCTACGATAATGATGCCACCCAAGGAAATCCATGTTTACAAATTCTCATTAAATTTTGACCAAAATTCCATTTGAAGACAACCATTTGTAACCCTTCCATAAAAATAATCTGGCCAGATCCTTGAGCACTGATTAAAGCAACAAAAAATAAAAACTTACTGAGGTATCTAGAAGAGTTTGTTCTCTCAAGATGCATTCTGCAGTTAAGAATTTCAGCTTCTGATGGAGTTCCTCATTTTCAGATAAAACTGCCTGCTCTCGATCTTTCACCCCACACAACTCCTCCTATAGGATAAAGGAACTGCATTTAAAAGACTCCTTTAAGATGGCTATCAGTATTGAAATACATCTTGAGATCAAGAGCCTAGACTAACATTTTCAAATATTTTAACCCTTTTAGAGAGACTAAGAATACTCAAAAGACAGATTTTGTATTTTTGCAGCTTAAATTGCCATAAATCTTCTTTAAAAAAAATACTTATTTATATTTATGATAGAACCAAAAAATGTCTTTAAAGACCCTTAAACACCAGATACCAAGACACAGGGTAAGGGATGTACTGAACTGCATTTGGCTCAGTTTTGGTCATTGCAGCAATCAATCCCAAGTCTAAATCTAAGCTGCATTTAATGTAGTTCTTCACATTTGGGGGACCAGGGTTTTAGTAGGTCAAACATGTTGTCTGATACCTTGTAAAACTTCACTTCTGCTTCCAAATGGTTAATGTACTGTGACTGATCATTGATTATAGGAACAAGATCAGAAAGGGCTGGTAAGTCTGCAGGTACAGCTTCTGGGGGTTTCTGAAGGAAATAAAGAACAGCATGTGTTATGTTCTGATTTTCCATTATTGCAGTAAGATGTTGCTTGCAGACACAAGACAACCTACAGTTTTCTGGTAAGGCTTCAAAATGCACACAGAGTTGTTAATGGAGTCTTTTCAGAGGAACAACAGGTACATTTCTAGTGCTTGTTCACACTTCTGAAGGAAAACAAGTATCTTTATGCATATCCCTATTTTGGAAACTCACAATTTGAACACCTTTGAGTTTGGGTCAGAAACATACCTCTCTGCAAAAATATTCCATTATACTTCTAAATATAATTGAAGTCTAAAGAAGATCAGAGATTCAGAAATCTACATCCTTGTTTTTAAATATTACTTTTGAAACACTCACCATTCAAAGAAAAACAAACAAAAAACCAAACAAACCCCAAACAAAAACCCCACAAACCAAAATAAAAAAAAGCAAACTAAGCTACTAATGGATAGCTATTACATCTGCTAGTTATCTACAGGTTCTGCCAACAATGCATTAAAATTCCTTGTTCACTCTTTATCCTTCAATTAGGATGAGGTGAAAGTTTCTAGCAACAGAAACCTTACAGTCCAATTATACCAAATACAAGTATTGACTGTTTTAAAGGGAAGGACACTCTTGAGATATCTGGAACCTGGATTGCAGAGGCAAATGGAGAATATCTAGAACCATCTGAAAAGACATCCCTGTAGGGAAGGAATGCCAGATTTGCAACATATTCTGCCTGGCTCGGTAGACATAAGTTCCAGGTTCTATTGACTCAGAATTCACCTTGATTTAAATTCTTAATCCTAACTACTTCATAATTTTTTTTTTAGAAAAGGAACCATACTTGTTAAAGTATATATAATATAGCCTTGATAATATTTTTAAGTCATCTGTTTCTCTGGCTCCTATTCATCCATCCTCTGAAAGCATAATGAACATCTTGCAGCTGAGACCTCCAGCTGCCTCCCTGACAAGATTACACCACAGTAGTGCTAGAAAATGTGAAAAAACTCCATTTCTATTCAAATTATTTTTCACTGAAAAACAGTTCTAATGTTTAAACTGAGAAACATCCCTGTAATGTAAACAATAGTGCTAGGAATTTTTCACTAAAAAGAAAGTACCAGGTAGTATATTTTCTCAACACAAAAAGAACAGAGGACCTCTGTGACATTTTTGTACCTTTTTACAACATAATTATTATAAATTGATTAGGGATTTTAAAATGAATTTTCTCAATATAACGTGTAACAGGGTGAAAGAACAGGTCAGGAAGGCTTGCCTTTAAATGATGCCAAATATTAAAAACAGAACTGAAAGACACATCTGATTAGTATGAATAACCAAACAATTATGCCTGAATCTTGGAAACGTTGTCCACATTGAAATACTTACTACTGAAAAGAATTTATAAAATATAAATGCTTAGCAGTTCTAGAAGCCAGCATTCTACAGGGCGACAAACAGTTTTGCAGACATCACAAATAATTTGTCTCACCCTGTACTCTTCCAGAATGCCTCGAACTTCAAGCATCTAAATCACAGAATTAGAGAAACTTTGCCACTCTATAAACTGACAGGAAACAACAGGAATCCATCATGTCTCCAGCTATAACAACAGTGTCAGGAACAGAGGCTGGGTGCAGCTAGGTTAGCCAAAACCCAGCCTGCAGAACTGCAGTTGTTATATGAAGCAATCTTGCTGGGCCTTGACCTCAGGTGATGAAGTGTAGAGCAAAAGGAAAATTTCTGCCCAACCTTCTGGGTGTAATCAAAGAAAGGATGAACTCATTTGACGTCTATTGCAACTTTAATCAATGGGCAAGCAAAAGGAATTTTGTTGCAACAATATTATTTATATGTAAGAAGTGTGGTAAAGGTTACTGAAGAATTTTTGTGAAATGTTATATTTAGCTATAGATCCTGCAGTCATTTACTATTCAGCAGTCATCAGGTATTTCAGCATCACTCAAAGCAAAAGGTTAAGGTTACTCATAATCCAAGTCTGCTTTCCTTGACCTTTGGGAAATTGGATTCTTCTTATAAAAGAAGCATTTCTGCAGTGTCCAGTAAATCACCAGACAATCTCGTATTTTATGAGGGTTTGGGCTTTTTTTGGTGTGTGTGCACTTTTGCAGTTCAACATTTTTTTTAGCTTTACACGTGGTCTGTCCTCAGAACACTTTCATATCTTCAAGCAGATGGAGGACAGCTGCAAAGGAGAATAAAGCCACCACTTCACAGAATGTTTCTCACTGGAAACTTCAAGGGGAAGGAATGGCACTGTGCTGTACAATACAGTAAATTCCCACTTTTTCTGTTTATTCCACCATCCTTTGATCCACTTCCTGAAAGCACTATTCCAAGTTTCTTAGATAAAAGTATTCCATTTTCTAAATTTTCCACTCTACTAAAACTTCCCAATAGAAGTAAAAAACTTCACCAAAGATGGAATAAAAGATTCTTTCCCTCCCTTCCAAGGCTAAATACAAACTGATACCAATTCATGTCGTGCCAAAGACAAGCAATGATGCATCAATCCCTTGAGCTACAAAACACTAACTCTTTCCTATGCTATTATGAGGCAAAATACCTGGCAGGACAATCATGCTAAACTCGTGGATCTTAGAATACTTTAAAAAGTTAATTTTGAATAAAATTCCTTAATGTCAGGACTGTAGAGCTACGCTCATTACACAGGCTGAAAGCAACACAGCAGGAATACAGGCTTTAGATTATTCTGCTGTTAACTTTGACAGCAAAGAGCTGGTTATCTTGCTTAGTATAAACCAAAAATATTCAGTGTAAGCCATCAAAAGATAAAACTGCAACAGTGCCTTTGAATTATTTTTCTATAGAGATTCTAGCAACCAGCAGTTGCTCTGTAACTGCACAGTGCATCACACGTGCTTTGGTGCAGTTCTGCTTCAATGAAGCAGCATCTGAGAAGCCCTTGTAAGGGCTGTGTCAACAAACCTTGACAGAGACCACTGCATTTCGGCAGAGAACCACAAAACCTGTTTTTGAATGAACCTCTCGAACTCAAATTTCAAGAAAAAGCATAGTCAAAGCATAAGAAGGGCACTGAGAATCCTTAAGGTATAGTCATAGGAAAACAGAGGCTGCTTTTTCAGAAATTTTTCCTTGTTATCTATCCCAAGTGTTTTCAAAACAAAAAGGATGAGACAACCACACAGCATGGTCAACAATAAGAAGAGAAAAGTCCAAACCCTGTATTATAGAATTCTTTTTCTTCCATTATGGTCATAAGGATACCAAGTTCTGGTCATAGTCTCAGGAAGCTCCAGTATTTAAGACTGTAAAAATTATTCAGTGTTTCTTTTTTTCTCTATACACTATAAAATCAACATGCCTGCCATTTATTCAAACAACACAAATGAAAGCAGAAGAAACATACATGGAATGACTTCTTCCTTCTTGAGGGAGACTCTTCACTTTCCATTCTTTCTTGGTGTTGCAACAAAATTTTAAGTTGATTAACTAGGAAGAGATAAAAACAATTATAACCAATAAACAATTAATTTTTTTCACTGAAATTAGTCTAATTTCTAACAATGTTCAAACAATTTGCTTTCAGATTAATCTTACCTGCATGACTGTGCTGCAGTTCCTGACTGGCTGCAGTCCCACAGTCATCACAGGCCCTGTCCACATTGTCACTGCCCTCATCCACAGAGGACTGCTCAAATCCAGTGTCACCATCACCTTTTGCCAAGGCATGTTTCAGCTGAGAGATGCTTTCACTAGCACGTTCTAGGAAAAAAACCAACCACATCATTAGCCACAATAAACAACATAAAAGAAAGGATTTACTGGATGATATGTTAAATGGGAAAAAACATGAGAGAACTACAAACATTGAGCATGTGGCTAACTTGACTATTTGACCTAATTTCAGCCACTGGAAGCAATTATCTAATGCAAACAGCCAAAAAAACCTACCATAACTGCAAAATATTTACTAAATTATAGTTTTTCAGAGAAGAGCTATAAATAGCATCTTAGTCCCTCAATACATTAGGACACTGCAGCAGCCCAAAAAATATTTCCTAGCATATGCACCTTTCATATTTTTCAATGAACCTAAAGCTCATGCTACATTTTCTACAATATGCAGGATTGGAAACCAAGAAAAATGGTTTTGCATTTGAGTGATGCCACCGCACATTCTTACAAAGCAACACTTCACACAATGAAACAAATACCTGAGTAAATGAAGTAATAACTCAGCAAACCAAGCCACCCTAAAACAGTATTTAATAAAGACCAATGACTTCTCAACAAGTGTGGAAAAAAAATAACACATACTATTCTAGAAAAAAGACCCAACAAACACAACAGAAAACCTCTATCCAGATAAATATAAATATTTTCAAGAACTGACTTACTGACAGATGATACAGTAAAGGTCTTATCTAATGTCCAATAGATTTTTTCCTTATACTACTTAATTTTTTTGATTCAGCTGACTTCACAAAAATCCTAAACACCAATCATAAATGCCATATCACTGTGATAAAGCTGAACATTTCCAATATGCCAAGAAAGAAATTTGAGATATTTGCAGCTAAGAGATGACAACTGAATTGGAAATCACAAAAAATTGACTTAATTTTAGATAAGGATATATCTACTTTGCACCACTGGATCTCAGAAAACTCACTTATTACTCCTTTTATGTATAAATGCCCATAGAACAGCAATTTAACTCTTGTGAACCAAGCTTATAAGGAAACATCTTCTATTGGAGTAACTGTTACAATTAGAAAAATAATAACCTTTCCAACACACATCGTTACTTAAATTTTACATGCTTGTAATTTCTAAATTGATATGAGGAATAAATAACTAAAAATATTTCTTGCCACTGGCAAAAAACCTTCAAATAATAACCACAGTTAAGTATTTGCTAGGTAGAATTCAGAAGATATGCCTCACATTATAGGTTGCTGTAAAAAAGTTAATAGCTTTTTCTTCCAAATAGAAGGCAAATAGCAGTTCAAGTCAGAAAACAAAAGCTAGATAAGTATTTCTGTCTTCACTTCATCTGTTTTTTCACATTCACATCATCTTGACTGAAGCTCAGAAATTGATTTTTTCCCCGCTGTAATGGTTTTCAATATTTTTCCAGTCTTCTCTACTTGGTTGTAACTTACCAATAGCTTATAAAATATAAATAACCCCCAAAAGCATTATATTTAAGAACATGTTGTCAGTCCAGTTATGCCATCACTCTTTTTAGCAATGCTAATTTTTAATTATAACCTGACACATTTCTGACCTGTTAATCTTCTCTCAGCATTTATTTTTAAAGGCCAGTCATCTTATGGCTCACACCACCATTTCTGGTTACTCCATCCTTTAATGAATTTAATGTAAAAGAAGCCATAAAAAGCATATTTTAAACAGTCATAATTTAGTAAGACAAACCCAAATACCATTCACAAGGCAATGACTCAAAAAAGAAGGGTTTAGGTCAAATATTTCACTTTTGGCATACTTAGTCTCTTCATCCTTTCTTAAGCATTCCAGGATGCTATGAGGGCAGAAGTATCTCACTGATGCAATGGCTAAGATATTTAGCAAACTATGTTGCAACTATTTGTTGCCAAGAAGTGTTCAATGTCATTTATCATGTGGTGTACCACTTGCTATCAATAAAGTTTCTTCATTTCCCCTTTCCCTGTCTGCCAGAGAACCCTGGAGTATCAGTATTTGCTCCCTAGACAAGAAACAACAAAGCAAACCAAACCAGAACCAAGCAAGCCCATATATATTGGTTTTCCCAGAACTTCTCTCTTTTCTGAACTCCAAGATATTAGTTCATCCACAAAGATAACATAGATCCTCTTACACTCTGTCCTCTTTTCCCATACACATACAGGGCAGTAGTAGTGAAACACATTAAAGCTTTTATCAATGGTTCACTGATGCCTATTTTTTTTGACTATGCTTTCTGCCTCTGAAATAACGTCACCACATTGTGGAAAGCCTCATCAAGTATTTGCTTAAATTTCTCAAAAGCTTGCCTATTTCCAAATTACTAATGCTGCTGCCATAGACAAAACACCACTGGGAATCAGGAGGTCCCAGGGGTGTGGCTGTACCAGATACAGAAGATCCAACACTTCAGGAAAAGTTGAATTGGATGCCTCAAGGGGAATAAGTACATTACAGCATTTTTTTTTCCCAAGTAAGTAACATAATTTTGGGCATTAGAATAAAAGACAACACACCAGTGAGTGGAAAGACTATGTTTGTTGTTTCTTACAATGTAAAATATTCTTTTTAAATATGAAAGAAATGAGAAAAAAACACCGTGGATGCAAACTACAGGACAGCCACGAACATCTGCTTAAAGACAACATGATTAATTTTGTAATTAATTCAGAAGCAATTAACTTTTAAGTGCTCCCCCATTCAATATAACTTTTTCAGTTAAGTTACTCCTGTACTAGTACATTTTATAGAAACATGGCCTCATACTGCAAAAGCTGCTCACATGCAGCACTATGATTTGCATATCAAAATCAATCAGCATCTTTCTTTTCAACATCTTAACAAGACTCTACAAATAAAATCCAAACATGTATTCCTGTTCTATGATAAAACATCACCGAAGTGCCATCTCCTATCGGAACAGCTGAGGATATAATTGTAATTGGACTCATGTGGGTTGAAACTTCAAAAAATAAAACTTACTATTAAGTTCTTTGGTTTTCAGTGTTTAAATGATCTGAGATGATTATGAAAACTGACATGCTAGCATCCAAATCTGATGGATCAAACTCCACACACTAATAAACATCCAAAAAATCAGTATAAGAACAATTTTCCATTGAAGTCAAAACAGGAAAAAATCCAGAAGGCATTGAACCAGCTTAGCATTGCCTAAACAAGAGATGTTTTTGCAGGTACTGCACCGAACTCTTTAAAAATAGTACTCCTTTAAATGAAAGCACCAAAGCTACCTCATTCATGGACTCGGAAATGCCATAGAAAATACTCTGGGAGCAAAAGAGCCAATCATCCAAAACAACAGAATTGTCTGAAAGACATGGAAAATAACTCCAGCTGGTATAATCATTAAGCAGTATAAATTGAAGAAAAAAAAAAGGCAGCTCTATGAAAAAGTTGTCATAAGTCTGTCACCCAAACCTAACAGTCTGTTTCTAATAATGTCTACAAGAACATGAAGTTACTGGCTATAAATTCAACAAACAGCACCATTTTCTGATATTTCATGGTTCCCAATCAGCAAACAGCCTTAGATGATTAGAGAAGGAATTACACTAATTTTTTAGGTCTTAAAAAAAACCAAACCAAACCAAACCACTGCAGAATTTTTGTGAAAGAGTAACTGGCAAAACAGATAATTAGACATACTATTGAAAACAGAAGGATTATGTTCATTTAAAGAAAACTTTCTTGTCCAAAATTAGATAAATATTTACTTCTATTGACAGCTAAAAATCTAAAATATTGTATCACGTACCTTTTCAGTCAAGTAACTGCTGAAAAATACTGAAACTGAGAATTTGGTTACAGGGTTTTTTTGTGTTTAGCACATATTGTAACTTACTTTCCTTCCCATTCTGACATCTAGCTATTCTTTTTTATTGGCTGCCAAACATAGGTTTGCTACCGTGAAAGTAACACATTATATGGCAGTTTTGAGACTAAAAGTATCCTAAATATCACTACCTGTGCTGCTAAGATTTTACATGCAGCAATGAGCAATACCAGGCTGTTCATCAGTCAGGCCTCAAAAGATTCTCCACCCTTAAAGAATACTTTATGTTCAGAAGAATATCTAGAAACAACTGCCAAATAAAAATAATAAGCCTAACAAAAAAAACCCCACCCCCCCAAAAAAAACCCCAAACCAACCAACCAAACAAAAAAAAGCCACAAACACATTTAGAATGCAATTCTTAGCTGCTTCAGTGTCACAGCTAACTTGTAGTGACGGAAACTGGGCCACATACTCATTTTCCCTAAGACAGCTTTGACTTCCCATCTCTTCTGTTTTATTTTTGGAACCACATAAAACAGCCACAAAATGAAGCTTTATTTGTAGAACTCTTATATTTTCATCTGTTTCTCTTGGAGTTTGCATCTCCATTCTCTGGCATTATGTAGGACACTGCACTTCAGCAATGCAGTGGAATACAGAACGTAATTTCCAGAATATCCTAAGATAGACTTGAGGCAGACAAGATGCCTGTATCAGGCTCAGTACCTAAAAAGCCCCTCTTTTGATCTTGCTCTTATATCTTATACTGTCTCAGGTCCAACAGTGAGCCAGTGCTCTTTACTCAAGAGGCAGAAAACTCAACATAAAAAATAAGCTATTAGTTCTCTGTTCAAGGAACCAGAAAAAGGCATCATGCTCAACTCTTAGCAGTGGGGTAGCAGAAGGCCCATTGGATATTCACATTATACCTATAAATTTTCAGTTATTAATGTGAATACCGTAGCACACAATTTATACTCCTTTACAGGATACCTCTACTCCCTTGAGAATAACTCTTGATTAGAAATATTATTATCTCCTAAAGTTTTAAAGGTTCATTTGAAATGGTCTCAATTATGTGAAAGTATACACAGTGACCTAATCATCCCAACTGTACAAATACCACCCTCTCAACTCAGTACTACACACAGCATTACAGACTTTCATTATAGAGGAAAAGCTACATTATAGAACCTTTATTATTTTATCAAAGCCTCTCTGTTGGGCCCTAAGACCAGTTACATCCCAATCAGGTTTTTTTTGGTCCAGCATTCTGCCCTCTGGCCACCAGACTGAGTTTTACTAAACACTCAGGCTCCCTGTCTTCTGAGGGATTTCCCTTTGCAACAAAGGACACTGCACTGAAATAATCAGCTACTCTTGGAGAACTTATCCACCCTTCCATCAAACTGAGTAAGGCTGTAAAGTGATTCTTCTGATGCCCAGCATGGGTGGTGAAAACCTGTCACCACGAGCTCAGCCTGCGTCCACATAATGTCAAGCATTACAG